AAAGTACCATGAACAAATAAAACATGATTTATTTAACATGGAAAAATTTAATCTCTGGACTAATATCTGTTGCTTTAGTTTTGTTCTTTCTGGCCTCAGCATGTTCCTAAGGTTGTGTTTTAGTTCAGGTCAATAAAGAATCTTGTACTTGTAAGAAAGAGGCCTGTAATTGTTTTCTGATCAATTATGGTTTTAAGGTTTTTTGTATTTGAGTCTTTATTACGTTAATCACAGCCTTTACTAACATTATAACTACACTCAACAGAGTTCTGTTTAAAATGTGTTGCGCAACAGAATAATTCAAAAGTCTCAGCTCTCGTCTTCTGGTAACGTCATCACGACCTCAGTAGGTTAATTTTAGAGCTGGGTTTTTTTGCTCATCGGAGCGAGGAGGAGACTAACCCTAATGGAACAGACATTAAGGAGGGAAGAGAAAGCAAATGTTTAAACAGCACTTTCTCTGTCACTAAGTAACAAGGTCTGTCATAGCCAAGTGGCCTTTACTCAAGTCTCCCAACATAAATCATTATCTGCGACTTACTCCATGTCCTCGGCTCTTTGTACTTCCTGTCTCTGCAGCTGGGTGTGGACGGTTTAATGGTGTCCAACACCACAGTGTCCAGGCCCGAGACCCTCCAGGATCCACACAAGTCTGAGGTTGGTGGGCTCAGTGGCCAGCCGCTCAAAGACCTCTCTACCAGCACCGTGAGAGAGATGTACAACCTCACCAAAGGTAGCTCTTGATTTTCCGTCCATTCCTCATCCCCTCTGCTGCAAGACAAAAATGTTTTGAATATATTTTATTAGTTTCTGTTTCTAAAATGGGATAATTTTTCTTGTCTTAACTCCACAGTAATCTGAAAATTATATTAATGTTATTGTAGGTAAAATACTGATTGTGGGAATTGGTGGTGTGGCCAGTGGGCAGGATGCTATGGATAAGATCCGTGCTGGTGCTTCATTGGTTCAGCTCTACACTGCTTTGACCTATCAGGGTCCACCTATAGTGTCAAAGATCAAGAGAGAATTGGAGCAACTTCTGAAGTGAGTATGACTGTGAATTGAAATGCTCTTCCTGTCTCTCTGTCTTTCATCGTCACAGTAGCATTACAGTTGCTTTGTGAATAAAATCTTTGAACCCACACTGACAGGCACATTTTGAATGACAGCAAAGATGGTAATATTTTTAATTCAGTGAATTATCACTTTTCACAGAGAGGAAGGTTTCAGCAGCGTGTCGGAGGCAGTTGGAGCAGATCACAGAGAAGCAGACGGCTTGGCTCGTAAACAGAACCTGCTGAAAGACACAGACACTCAGGGCTTAGCAGCACCTGCAGCTGCCAACTCCTCCAACTAGGAAACATGATCATCAACGTCGTCCTGAACTGAGATGAATGCTGAGTATTTGTGACCGTCCGTCCGTCCATGCCTCATGATATACAGGGTGGAAGCTACAGTCAGGTTTGAACCATATTTTCATTATTTGCGGTGAGGAGTTAAACAGTAAATGCACCAAATCTCATCTATTCCATTACTTGAAAATTATTAAGTGCGTATTGTGTAATGATGGTGCATCTGTACAAGCAGAGGTCTGTTTGTAACTTTATTTCAGGCGTTTATCCTTTTGTTACAGTGTAACAGCAGTAAATATTTCTCAATCTGTACTGAGAACCAAAGTGCTTGAATCTTTCAAACACTTAGTCTCTAATCTCATTCTTATTGACGGATACAAGTAATTTTCTTGTGTGTAAAGACAATAATCTGACATGACGTTATACAGATAAAATGGCAAAACTTGTTTTTTAAGGAATTATCTAATGCAGAAGTTGAAACATCTTCAAATGTTGATATTGTATTATTTTAAAATCCAAAAATACATTTTAATATTCATAAATCAGTAGCACAATGCAAAAAACAAATACATTGAAATTAAATTAAATCAAGACAAATAAAGTTGTCAAACACAGCAACAGCTCAAATGTTATTTGGGTTTTTATTTTGCTCTGTTGTTCATAGTGAATATTTGTGATCTCCCTGTTTTAAGGTTTTTGTATCAGACTTGGTTAAAGCTCCAACAGTAAAGACTTGTTACAAAGAAGAAATTACCATCACTGACAAATGACTATTTCCTGGAAAGAACTCTTATATTTGCAGATGAACATTTTTTATTTCATTATTTTATATGTTTTCTGGTTTACTGCTGTCTCAAGTTGACGTGACAAAAAGATTTCCAACACGACACATGACTCAGTATACTGTACTGTGTATAAAAGACATTTGTTCCAGTGTGGGAGATCCACATCTGGAATCAAACTACTGGTAAATCACGCCTGATTAAAAACAAACAAACAAAAAATCTTTGTGCTCTGATTTCAAATTCTTGTGAATCTAATAAAGAATGTGTCCAAATGGAAAAATCCTTTCTTAAGCCATTTTTAGTAAATTAGAATTGAAAGAAAAACTTATGATTTATCAAATAGGCTTTCAAAATCCACATGTAAGATTAGCATAAAATGTATTCAACTTGACAATATTATAGACGAATTTCCTTTCACAACATGTCTTCTACTCCTAATCATCTATATCAGGAGTAAATACAGTGGAGCTCTGTTGATTTCATGGATATTTTGCTTAAAAGAACTCTGATTACTCCGCCAAGATCAGATAAAACCCCTTCAATCCACTTCAATCAGCTGAGCTCCTACTCAACCCCTGTCCTTACCATCTGAACACATTGGGTTTGTCCTCACTCATTGACATTTTATGAAGCCTTTCTAGCCTATCGCAGCACTGCCTGCTGATCCTAGAATAGACAGCGGCCATTAGACGTAGTGAAGGAGCGCCGCAGTACTGTGAGGATCAGCTGTGAGCTGCCAAGCGCCTTCCTCTTCCTATCCTGAGGCCAAGTCCAAACAGGCTTGTATCGCATATGTGGTGTCACAAGGGAGAGGAAAGTCGAGGCCTGACTTCCAGACAACACAAACTTTAAAACTAAACGCTGCTGAGATGTACGTTTTCCTTGTGTAACTTCGATCATAGCTTGGAGGCAGCACATATCTGTCCTGGAGATTTGTACTGTGCACTGAAAGCTAATGGGAAGAGAAAGCTCAGTGTAGGTTATTTATCAGCTTGAATGAGACCGATATTCATTATTCTATCTCTTAAGAGGCCCTTACAGTTAAAGCATATTTCTTTCTGTCATACACTGGTGTGACTCAATGCACAAATAGACTGCTAAAAGCAGATGTCTTGGTATTGTACATAAAGCCAGTGAAGAGGAGGGATAGTCTTTACACGGTTGCACAGGGAGAGAAAAAACCTGCAGTGAATGAACATAAAGAGGACGATGATAATGTAGAGGAACAGACGAGTAAAAGGAAATGGATGGCATTGCTTTCTACCTCATTGAGAGATTCAACATCCCAGGGCCTCAATTAACGGTTTCATCAAATGGGGGTAATTTATAAACTGGTGGAAACACCCAATGTAAATTCACGGGATGTTCTGTCAGTCCAACAGTCCAAACCCCAAATATTCAATTATAAGTGATATTAAACACAAACATAGCTAATTGTCACAAAATTGTTTTGTGTACGGTTGGTAGAATAGTCACAGTAATAGCACTTGATTCATTTATTGTGTTCTCGTTACGATCTGTCTGTCACTGCGTCTTAGTCCTTTATTTGCCTTTTTCATCTTAAACAGTGACTGTGGAGATAAGAACAGAAAACACCGGCTGTGGTGTCGAGCGTGAGACCTCGCAGTTATATGGTGTTTTGATATTTATAAGCTCTGAAGCTGTTTGTCTTTTTACTTTACACAGATGATATTTACAATCACATGATTTCTGATTTGTGTTTTCTTTTCATTTTTCTTTTTTTCTGTGTATTTGTATTTTCATGGAACGTGGAATGGTAAAACTAATGAAGCATTTTCTCGGTCAAAGAGACTATTGGATATATTTCAGGTTTCTGCATGAGGTCTGTAAAAGCCAATGTCTTCCTGTTCATTGGTTCATTGGTTACAAGGTAAAGCAAAAAGTTTCTGGGTCATTTGTGTACTTCGAAAACATGATATAAAAACTTTTCCCTCAGAGAAAGAAAGAAAGTAAATTTTCAAATAAAAAGCATTATGTCTGCAACCGCAATTTTACAACACTTTACAATGAGCTTAAACAAATATCATAAAATATCTATAACGCAGACAATCAAAAGATATTCAAGAAACCTAAAACATGATTGTAACTTCAGTTAATTGAATAAATACACTTTCAGAAAATACTGAATAAATGAATGAAGCACTGCATTGACAGAGTCAAGGACCCGGAATAACAATCACTATTGGTGACAGGTCGATCCTATCAAGGCAATAAAACTAAATTTACATTGGTGTAGTTGCACAGATTTTGTGGTGCAGTCTGTGTTTTTACTGTTTGTGGTGTTACTGTCTGTTTAGATGTAGATTAAAGGTACAGTGTGTAGAATTTTGTAATATCCAGTGTTGAAGCTGCATGTTGCAGCTGAACACCCCTCACCTCACCCTCTCCTTCCAAACATGAGAAATAAACTGTGGTAGCTTCAGTTGTCATAAAAACTCAAAAAGTGTTCAGTTTGTCCAGTCTGGACTAATGTAAAAAACATGGCGGCCTCCGTAGAGAGGACCCCCTCGATGTAAATATAAAGTATTTGAATATAAAGGGCCTTATATGAGGTAAAGAAAACTACAATTCATACAATTTAGATGAAATGAACTAATGAAAACATCATGAGAATTGTTTTACATAAAATATCTGCCAATTGTTCCCTTACCTAAATCTTACACACGGGACCTTTAAGTGTTTTTAATTCCCTTATTTAGATACATGAAATAAAATGTAAATCTTTTTTTTTTTCCCCCAACCTCTTTATTTTAAAATTGCATTGAAAGAGTTCCATAAACCAATATCATTTTTTTGTCAATGCGTTCAGATGCAGGGAAATCTAGAAGGCCCTTTCACTGTTGAGGCATCAACAGATTAAAAAATGTATATATGAATAAAACATAAGATTACCAAGACCTTTATATGTTTCAGACGGGAAGCAACCTCTGACAAAAGGTATGGAACAGCCTGGAATGTCTTAAAGCATGAGCAGAGTTTGGTTCGTCACACAGCTAACAGCATTATTTCTATGAAGTGTGCGACCGATGGCAGCATCCTGTGGAGGAGGCTTGTGAGACACAACACTGCAGTGAATTGAGATGAGTGGAGAGGAAAGCTTCTTTACACTGCCAAACACTTTAGATCGACACAACTCTCTGTCAACTGTGACGGCAGAAGCGGGAGAGCTGTCAGCACTGGAATAACTTCAGAGCAGCAGCATGAAAGCGCCGCAGGGGCCCATGTGAACGCTCCCTCTTAACTCACAATGAAAACCAGTGGAATTGCCTGAAAATCGCTTTTCACAGACAATTCGCAGTCAACCTGACAGAGCCAAAACTGATCAGCGAGGTAGGCGGAGAAATCCTAAAGACAAAATGTGTTCAACGAAGACAAATGAATGTGATGAGAGCAATTCTTACATTTCCTCAAAATAATGTTAAAGCAGTTGGTTAGCAGTTAGTTCATTTTTGTTTCTGGCATAGACATTT